CCTATAAAAAGTGTTTTACAAGTTTAGCTTTAGATCTCAACTTATATATCATATTATATCTTCACATTCTTCCAATATAGAATTGAGCAAGTCATAAATTACAACAATTCTTACAAAGGCATAATATCTTATTGTTGTAGCTAGCTTTAGAGAAAGCCAAATCAAGGAATTAACTTACTCCTAAAACATATTCTTAGCTAGTTCTTGATCTTTGCATCAAACTTTTATCCATGATAATTTTTACCACACATTTAATTGTAAATATAAAATATATTTAATAAGTATTAATTTTTAAAATAAAAATATTATAGGCATATATATTTCCTCATGAATAAAATCAAATGCTTTGAGTACAAAAAACACTAAAAGGGGAAAAAGAATTAAACTCACAAACCTTTTGAAGAATGCATTCTGTTTGCTTGTTTCAATTGATAAAGATTTTGACCCTGCATTAATAGTAAATCTATGATCAAATACTTACAAATTAGGAGAATAAAATAATCGCAAAATTATTTTTAAATTATTATTTGAAAAGTTTAGCATTATAACATAAATTCTTATCTTAAAGATGCTACCCATAAGTAAAATTACGAGTAACTTAAGTTTGGAGTAAGCATTTTGCAACATTATATTTGATACCAAAACAGAGTTATCACCAAGAAATCACAGAAATACATGTCTCCAAATATCTATTTTGCAAACACAACAAAAAAACAAAGCATTTGCTATCAAAACAAATCAAATTGATGGAATCATCCAAAGCACATCAAAGATATTTAAAAAAAAAAAAAAGAAAAGACCTAAAGCTTTAGGAACTCCCCCATTGATGGCCAACAATTTAACTAAATTTGCAACTACGAATTCTTCACCACGTGCGTATGTATAGATATTACCTAATTCCACCAACAACCAAACCAATTCCCCACTTTCCTATCTTTTAGCTTTTCAACTATTATCTCATCCTCACAATTGGTCGAGAAACCTAACACTTTACTAAGACTCCCAGTATCTTGAGCATTATTTTAATAACGTCAAACCTATTTAAGAAATCCCTATCCTATAGAGATTCGTTAGCAAACTTCCATTCATGTTATTTGATTTTTTAACTTGAATCTTATTATATGTCCTACCTTTCCTTTTTGTTTTCTGAAAAATTTTGCAAAGCAATGCCTTTTGAATCTCAGCTAGGGACTCACTTTACCAGCTAACGTACAATTGACTTTTAACACTTTGGAAAATAACCCTTTTTGACAAGCAATTCAGAAAAGTAGAATACAATATTCAATGTTTAAAATAATTTGATCTTAGAATCTTTACAATTCCAAAACCACTAGGCCCACCTATTTTCCATAAAAAAAAAAAAAAGGTAGTATCAACATTTCTTATATACATACTCTTATGGACCCACATCCATGATGCTGCAAAAAATCTAACGCAACCAAATGTCAACTCAAATAAGGATTCATTTAAATAGGTAGTGAGATTAAAAATTATTATTATTATTATTATAATTATGATTAAAAAAATATATTATTATTGTGATTAAAAAAATTTAATAAAAAATTTATATTAATTAAATTTTATTAAAATTTAAATTTAAATTCAATTAATGATGATTGAAATTTAACTAAACCTCATTAGAAGTGTGATTGCATCCAAACGCCCACTAAGTCTTCGTAAAGCGCAACTTGAAACTTATCCATCAACTTACTCTAAGAGCAAGATTGGCTTCACGATGAAAGACAAAAGAAAAAAAAAAGACTCATTGCACTAACAGGCAGTGTTGTAACCAATAAATTTTTCAGTTTTAAATGTTGTCATTTTTCAATTTTATGTAAAGTTAATATACAAAAAATTTATTTTCAAAGAAAAAAAATGAGAAAGTAGGTATTGTCTTTAGATTTATGTTAATATTTGTTTAGATTAATACCTAATAATGCAATCAAGAGAATTTAACAAATTAATATAATATGACATAATCATTACTTAAAATTCTTGATCTTAATGTTTGGGCATAATCCTATAATATTACAAAGAAACCCTAAATTAATAATACATGATAAATTTATAATTTTTAAGGAAAAAAAAAACAAAGATGTAATTCAACTTCTATTTAAACAAAATTGTATAAAAACTTTAAGATTTTATTAATTAAAATTACCTTTTTGACAAGACAAAAATCTTCTAACGCTTTCTTTTTTGCCGCAATACTCTTAATAAATCTTTATTCTTTTGATTATTCCAAGTCTTTAATAGCTTTTATTGTAGAGAACTAAAGGACAAGAAAAAGTTGATAAACTACAAATGAAAGTACGTATTTTTTTGTGAAAAATTGGTTTCATAAGAACATGATGAAAAAATGAAAAATTCCCTCCAAAATGAAAAAATTAGCCAACGGCTATGTTGAAAAAAACATAATGAAAGTGGCGGGTTAAATGGAATTTTGATACTTGTTACCTATTTTATTGCCTTTAAAAATCTTAAAAATTTTGTCTCTAAAAATTAATAGATTAGTATGAAAAAAATAAAATATTAAAAACATTATACAAGTTGTACTTTTTTATATTAATTTTGTAATTAATATTTTTATCATTAGCAACAATATTTTTAGAGACAAAAAGACACATAAAAAAGCCATTATAAATTGTTATGTTAATTATATTTTTTAATTAAAAAATAATATAGCAATTAGAGAGAAATGTCATTAAAATAGTGACCTATATGACATTTGTCTTTGAAATTTTTTATTTAGAAGCAAATAAGCTTATTACATCAAGTCATTGCCTCTAAAAACAGTTTGTGTTGTAATGATTTGTTCCCTCTGCTCCATCCCTTAAGCTTTTGAGAGGAAGCTATTTGGAGGAAATGCGTGAATAAAATTCAGAGAGAAAAAAGCTAAAATGCAAAAGAGTTTTAATGATAAACATCAACCACAGCAAATTTGATTGAACTTGATTTTTTAAAAATCAAGTATGAGTTTTATATTTATAGATCCAACTTTTTAAAGATAAATACGTATCTCCAAATTATGATCTTAATCTTAAAAATTAAATATTCAAATGATAAAGCTTAAAGAATAAAGAAAATCACAAGATAAATACAAATTCTAAAGAATAAAAGATATATATATATATATATATATATATAACAATTCAATAAACCAAATATATGCTAAGAAAGGTTAAGACTTTAATTAGGGTGAGTTCTTTTTTATTTAGAGCAAGAATTAACTTTCCCTAGGGACAAGTATTTACTAGTCCTCCATTCAAATAAAAATATATATTGATATTAATATTTTTAGATTTTTTTAAAAAAAAATTTAATTAGAAGTCATCAATACTCTTTAATTAAAATCAATACTCAAAATCTCATCTCTATAGCATTTTAGAGTTAGAATATTCTTAATTAATGACGAACTGTAAGGGAAGTCTGAAGATTGTTATTTGTTAATTTTATTTTTAACTTAACTTTATGTATTATTATTTAAGAGGAATTAAAATTATATTATAATTTGTTTATTTATTGCATTTACAATCATTATTTATAATTTATTAAAAACAATAGTTTTATCATGAATATTAAGTCATATTCATGTACACTTAAAATAATAAATTACATTTCTAATTTTTTCGATAAAATTTCAAGTTTTCAACCAAGTATCCAAGATGTAATGTTTTCTTTTTAACTGAACACTTATCTTTTCATATTTTATGATCATTTTTTATTTTATTTTCTTCATAAAACCTCAAATAAATTATGTTAATTGTTAGGATTTTCATTTTTTCTTAAGTACTCGTGTTCAATACATTTGCAACAAATGTTAAGTACGGAGGGAGGTCGAACAATTCCAATATATAAAAAAATTTTAAATAAATATATTCATATAAAATACATATTTATATTTGATACTCATTCTCAAATTCAAATAACATAATATATAAAAATATATATAATTTTAATCAATCCCTCCAAAATCAAATGTCAAGTCCACTACTATTCTTAATCTTCATTTATTTTTTCAATTTATCTTAATAAATTTTTAAATTACGAAACTCTAATCTTGAATTCAACTTCAAAAATATTGAATTAACAGCTTATTTATAAGTTGATAAATAAGTTTAAAATAAAAAGTAAAACTTGTAACATATTTTTTTTCAAATATTAAATCAACCACCTAAAAAATGAGCAGTTTAATTTAGAAATTAAAATTCATACTATGGCACTTTGAAACAGAAAAAAAAAAGTGAATTTAATATAAATAATGAAGAAAAAGTGTATGAAAAGATAAAGCAAGAGTCCAATGACAATTTCCAAACCTTGGAAGCACTCTTCTCCAAGTCATAATCCACTTTTAGGACAACAATTGACCCTTTCTGATATATATAATATCCAGTTCTGCATCAATGAAACTAAAAACTTCCTTTTTGATCAAATTTAATGAAATATGAAATGAAGATAAAAAAAATAAATGGCTTAATAATGCAGATCCATGAATCCGGATTATTTGTTTATTTGTTCATTTACCTATTTGCCAATATCCCTCTGAAACACGCAGCTTAACTGCCACTTGCTCGGTATAATTATCTCTTTGATATGCTGAGTTTTATATATATATATATATAGAGTGGCATAACTTTTGGACTATTGGGTTTTATGATGATGTTTAACTTATTGGACCAGTAATATACTATTAAAGAATGAGTTGAGAAATTTCAATCAGATGACGTGCTAAATTTAATTAAGTGCTTTAGATTTTTGTCAAAGAGACATTTGTCGAAGAGACACTGCTTTCTGCTTACAGAGCATTAATGCAGACGATTTGCATTCTGTGCTGGTTAGATTTTTAAAAATTATGAATTTCATAAGGTTTAAACGTCTAACAATAGAATACACATAAGAATCATAAATGTTAAAGAAAATGGCCAGCTGCAAGAACCAAAAATAGTCGGCAAAATACAAAAAATGAAATCAAATTTAAAAATAACGAATAAAATGAATAATGACTCTCCGTATAAGAATATCAAGTGTATAGTAAGTACTAAAAATTAAACCCAAAAAATTTGAAAACCAGTACCAAGCTTAATTATTATGCCATCACTTGCAGTTTAGATCTTGGAGATTCCTTGTTGAAACATTGAATGTGAGGGTACAATTCATCTCTGGGGATTTGTTTCTCTTTATCACTTTCATCAATTCCACTTTTCCTTTCAACTTGGCCTGGCTATTCAATGTCAATATATTGGAACTCAATTCTGAGCCAAGTGGTGTGGTGTTTGTCAATGCTCTGGAGTTCACTTCCACAATAACATCCAATTTTTTGGTAGAACGAGCTCTGGCCCTGGCCTTGGGAATAATTGCCTCTCCTACTATTACACCATCATACAGAAAACTCATAGTACTGTGATCAAATCTGTAATGACCAAAATTGGTGTTTTTTACCGTAACTTGGGCAATGAACTTGAGATCAAATGAAGCAGCAGCAGCAGCAGCTCCGGTGTTATTGGTTTCCATTGTCTCAATGGTGATTCTTCCAATTCTTACCTTTGGGTTCTTAACGCGCATGACTGTCAGTGCAAAAACCAGGATGATAGCGGTTTGGAACACTGCAAAAGCCGCAATATACACAGCATATTTGATTCTCTTCTTTCTTTTCAGCTCTTTCGCTTGTAACCCGGCTGATTCTTCATCACTCCTCAGGTGCTTGTTAGCTGGTGCTGGGGGATGCACTTGCTGGTCTTTCTCAGCCATTTTTCTTTACTAGCTATGAAACTGATCAAAAGAAAAATATTATCTTTATCACTTTTCTTGATGTTTAAACTGAATTGAGGAAAGCTTATAAGAGCAACCTGGTATATATAGTACTCGGTTATCATTAGGACAGGGCATTTAACATAGGAATAGACAAATTGTCATCATGAAATGATGGTCAGAGAGGTTCCTCGAAATTGGTTTTTTTTCTCTGTTGAAGTATTAAACGCGCATAAGGTTGGACTTTGTGACATTCATTCTAGATGGTCTCGTAACTTTTGTAAACGGTTAGAGTTTTTATCATAAAAGTTGAGATTATAATAAATAAATAAATAAAGTTTCTGTTCTATCTGTTCATTGGACATTTTACATGTATTTTGTTTTTAAGGGAAGTAGGCGGTTGGAAGCAACGTCCATACGGATCGTACCTGCTTCTAGATTGCTTGGAGAAAAAAAAAGTCATAAATAGTTACATGGTTATTATTGCTTAATTAATTAGTCACAAAGCTGATTAATGAAAAATAAATAAATAAAATTTATTCATCATTAATATTAAAAGCATCAGTGAAGTTGATATGTTTCCACACATGGCGAAAACTAGATCTATTTATGAACAGTATAGTTGACCTACAGAAGCCATTAAGGACTTGATCATCAGTTGATTATTATAGTTTAGCCAAGAAGACAAATTGACAATCATATGAAAGCAATCTTTAACTTCTAAAGATTAATAAATTCAGAGATAAACAAAATACAAGTCAATAAATTAAGTTGAAAGTAAAAAATACAATTGATTCAATTGACCATTATTTGATTATGATCAAATTTCATTGACCATCTACATTCATAATTTTTTTGGGGATGGATGACCATTTACACTCAGTAAAAATTATTAGAAGTGGCTTAAAATTAAGTTTGGATCTAATGTCTTTATGGAATCTATACAACATACACAAGCTATCCCTTCTTCAATTTCTTTTCAATTTGATGCCAATTCATTAATTTTATTGTTTTTGTCAAATGCTAAATCAGCAGACACTTCATCACCACAATAGCTTTGTTAAATATTATTATATTTAATTATGCTGACTTGTATAACACGTGTCTTATTAGGATAAAGTTGAAAATTTTTTACAAATTCAGAGTATTATTGACATTTGACAATTCAAAACATCGAACTTTTTATCACCATAATGTTGCAATCGCTAGCCACTATTACTTCTGCCACCACCACCACTGTCATCATCACCACTCCTATAACCATCGCTGTCACCATCACCGCTCCCACCACTACCCTTATTGCTATCACTGTCAATCACTAAAACCCAACAAAATAAAAAAAAACTTTCAGATTCAAACTAATTTCCAATTTCTCACATTTTCCCAATATCCAAACTTTACACGTTTCAAAACCAACAATCAGATCTATGGGTAATGGTTAGGTTTTTTTTACAAAAAGTGAAATTTTTAATAAAAGATAAGAAAACAGTTTTTTTACACAATCAACAAACCCACAAAAATAGCTTTTGGCAAATTCCATTCACAATCCTAAAATCGATCAAAAATCCAAAACGAAAAACTTTTATTTCTTCTTTCATTGCCAAAAAATAAAATAAAAAAACAACAGTCCTCACCGGAGTGAGGAACCCAGCCAAGCCAAAAAAATAAATAAAATAAAAAAGAATATATGTGATTTTTGATTTTGGGATGGGGATGTTTAAATAAAATGTTAAACTAAAACCTTTTGCCATAATAATAATTTTATTATAAATTTAACAAATTTTAAGGAAAAGCAAGATTAATGAAAATAGTAAATAAACCTGGCATGATAAAATATTTCAAATAATAAAATTTCAACGGTTGCCAATATGTAACTGATAAATAAATTTTTTAATTGTATCCATAACAGATTGGTGAATTTAGAAGAAAAATTTTAATATATTATTTTGAAATAAAATTGAAATCATAAAATTAGTTAATCAATAATTCAAGATCTAACAATTTTAGGATCTTTTTAAGGAGAAAATCAATGATAAAGGTCTAGATGAATTACAAATGTGTAATTTTCTAGAAAAATTTTTTAAATTATTCCAAAATAGTAGGACAATTTATAAATTTAAAATTAAACCAAAATTTCAAACCATGAACATTATAAAATTGTGAATAAATGATCCTTAAGGAAAAATTTTAGGGATAACGATATTTTTTAAATTTACCAAAATGACAGAAAATTTAGATGTTTTTATAAAAATGAAGAAGAATTAATTAAATTACAAAAGGAAATTTTTAAATGATATTATAAAAATTTTTGTCAATCCAATAACAAAACCTCTTCATGAAAACGAATGGATTCTTTAAATACTCTTGAAGTAAGAAAATTTTTTTAAGCATTTTACTAGAATGATGAAATTATCCTATAAAATTTTTCAATGTTTGACTAATAAAATTTAGTTTAGAATAAAATATCATTTAATTAAAAGCAATTTAGGATAATACAAAGTTATTTTTCAAATATGTTTGTTTATATAATTTATAAATAATTAATTTTCAAATAAAATGTGATTATATTAATATTAATACATATATTAAAATATAAAAAATTAGTTAAATAAATAATTATTTAATTTAATTTAAAATTTTATTTTAAAATTAATTCAATAAAAGATATCAATATTTAAAAAATTCCCTCGATAAAGCGAGGGCATGAATCTAGTTATCTTAAAGACACACTCAATCACTCTTTTTCTTTTTTCTTTTTTTCCATTAAAGAAAAAGGTTCTAATATGCATTAAGGTAGCTGCAAGGACAATTCTCAATACCTTGACTTTCCTTAAAGTTAATAGGTTTAGTTGTTGGCCATGAGGAAATTTTCGAAGAATCTTGAACTTCGTATTTTGGCATTGCTTAATTCTGACTACCATATATCCTCTTTATGTTGGATATTTGGATATTTTGTAAACCGTTGGCTATTAAAATTGAGTTTGGAGTTATGTTTTTAGAAAAGATACATTTTGTAAGTACATAATTTCTCCGATCTTCTCCCATAACTTGGGAGAAGATGTCCTTAGGAGATGGAATATCTGAAAATTTTAGATCTTGATGTTAAACGGCTTTTTTAAGTTTTTTTCTATAAAACAAATAATAAAAAGATAACAAGCATCAATAATATTTAAAAAATATCTAATATGCTTTTAAAGGTAATAAGTTTCGTGGTAAAAAATCTGCTCCACATGCAATTGTCATTACATATTCATTAGCAATTAGTTTTCCATCTTTACGTGTATGAGTAACAATAAATAATTCTGATCGAGATGAATTAGTCCCTTCAGATCTTGTATTCTTTTATGAATTTTCAATTAAAATAAATAATTATAATAATTTAAGCAATTTTATTTATAAATTACTTAATTAAAGTACATTACATTACCATTTTCTCTATTCTTTTTGCAAAACTTTTGTGACTAAAGTATGAGGTGGACTTCAACTTTTGTCTATTTCTTTTGTCAACAACTTCCTTTTTTTATAAAGTTAGAAGAAAAATAAAAGAAAAAAATGTTATGAAATATATATAAGAGAAATAAAACTTTAAAAATGTATACCTTTGCTTTTGTAGATTCCCAGAATGTCAAAAGCCGATCAAGTTTATCATCAAGAACCTTTTGATCTTGTTCTATTGTGTTTGAACCATTTACTTTTTACCTTAGACTTGAAGTCCTTTCATTTTTTATCCAAAGACATCATTACTCAATCCTTAGCCAATGGATTTATGTCAAACTTACCCTATAATAAATATATAATTATTGATTATTAAAAACATATAAACATTTTGATTGAAAAAAATAATATAAAGCTCTTATATGTGTGTGTATAATAATTTGTAATTTTTCAATTTAATAATTATAATAATTTAGGCAATTTTATTTATAAATTACTTAATTAAAGTACATTACATTACCATTTTCTTTATTTTTTTTGCAAAATTTTTTGTGCCTAAAGTATGAGGTGGACTTCAACTTTTGTCTATTTCTTTTGTCAACAACTTCCTTTTTCTATAAAGTTAGAAGAAAAATAAAAGAAAAAAATGTTATGAAATATACATAAAGGAAACAAAACTTTAAAAATGTATACCTTCGCTTTTGTAGATTCTCAAATTTTCAAAAGCCAATCAAATTTATCATCAAGAACCTTTTGATCTTGTTCTATTGTGTTTGAACCATTTACTTTTTATCTAAGATTTGAAGTCCTTCCATTTTTATTCAAAGACATCATTACTCGATCCTAAGCCAATGGATTTATATCAAACTTACCCTATAATAAACATATAATTATTGATTATTAAAAATATATAAACATTTGGATTGAAAAAATAATATAAATCTCATATACGGTGTGTGTGTGTGTGTATATATATATATATATATATATAGCAAAACATTTGTAATTTTTCAATTTAATAGTTACTACAGATATCTTATTTGGTTTGGACCCGAATCAATTGGACTTGACTCAATAGGATCCAAGTTATTAGGCCTAATTACCTATTTTTAATTTTTTATTTTATTTATTATTTATTATTTTATTATTTCATTTTATTGTTTTTTGGTTTTTATCTTTTGTTGATTATCATTAATTTTTCTCTTTTTTTTTTTGCTTGGTTTATCTTTCTATTAAGTGTTCAATAAGATAATAGTGATAATGTAAAATAATAATAATAATAACAAACAAAAAGAAGGCTCTGTCGTGGATTGGGGCTGGCAAAGTTGTAAACGAATTTAATCTATTAAGGATAATACGAAAATCTAGTCAGGGAATAAGTTGTGATTAATCAAAAACTCTTTTAACTTTGTCCCATAAATACATACACAAACACAGTAATGGACACAAAAAAAGATATAGATCACAAGTAGCAAGATAGAAAATAGAGGAATATAGAAACATATAACAGAAACACAAAAAATCAAAGTAGAGATAAAAAAACAAAGAGAAAGAAATTAGAAAAGAGGCACGGCTAGAAAGTATAAAAATTTTGGAGAGATTTTTGGGTTTTGAAAAAAATTTTGGAAATTTTTTTGGAAAATTTTC